GTCAACATGGTTTCACTAATGAAAATTCTTGCCTTACAAAACTGCTTACGTTGATGAAAGTAATGATGTAGATTTGGTATATCTGGATTTTCAGAAAGCATTTAACAAGGTGCCATATAAAAGGCTTGTAAAAAAAATTATCTCTGTAAGTATGGGGGAAGAGTTAGCAAATTGGATAGAAGAATGGCAGACGGTTGTTATAAATGGAGTTCAGTCTAACTGGATTAATGTTACAAGTGGGGTACCTCAGGGTTCAGTCACAGGATTTTTGCTCTTTTTGATTTGTATCAATGACATAGATGAAGGAATGGTCAATAAATTACTTAAATTTGCAGAAGATATTAAAGTCTTTGGTGTTGCTAGCTGTAAAAAGATGTTGCTGCTTTAAAAAGGATTTTGTGAGTTGGGCAAATAAATGGTTTTAATTGTAATAAATGCAAGATCTCCAAAACTGTTTTATCTTGAAAAACGAAGAGTTAGAGGGGATCTGATCGAGATGTGTAAGATTGTTACGGTAATTGATAATGTTGAAGCATCATTTTTTTTTCATACTTAATGGTAGGACTAGGGGATGCAAATATAAATTTTGGCTGGGAAGGAGTCATCTTCACCTAAGAGACAATTTTATTTTTCTAACAGGGTGGTTAGCCTTTGGAATGAGTTACCTTCGGATGTTGTGGAAGCAGTAAATTTAAGTGAGTTTAAGAGAAAGCTTGATAACTATATGAATCATAGGGGCTTGGTTTTGGGGTCTTTTTCTTTTTTTTAATTTAAATTTGTAATATTTTATTTAATAGTTTTAGTTTAGTTTAGAGGATGAGACAGCCTAGATGGACCAATAGGTACTTTGTTGTTCTGAAACATATGTTAAATTTAATTTCTTGAACCAAGTTATGAACAGTAATTAGTAGGCCTATTTATTTATGTACTCTAATGTAAATCATTACCATGTGTGTGGTCTGCTTTCAAGGAATCCTGGTAAGCAGTAGTAAAAGAAGCACCAATTTATTCCCCCCATGGGAATATTTGAAGACAATCCCATAAAGAAACTAATTACCATATTCTATTGATGATATAAACCTTAGGACTAATCGAAATCCTGCTGGTGGACATGTATGTTTTTTTTTCAGCAGCCTAGAGAATGTTTTTTGATACGACTACTGTGTTGTCCCAACCATGAAGTTATTTCTTCAGTAGCCTGGAAAATGTTTTCAATATGACTGTTGCAACCATGAAGTTATTTTTTCAGTAGCCTAGAAAATGTTTTTGATATGACTGTTGTCCCAACCATGAAGTTATTTTTTCAGCAGCCTAGAGAATTTTTTGATGTGACTCGGTTGTCCGAATTATGAAGAATGATTTTTTAATCAGCCTAGAGAATGTTTTTGATATTAGTGTGTTGTCCCAACCATGAAGATAGGTTTTTTCATCAGCCTTGAGAATGTTTGATATGACTGTGTTGTCCCATCTGTGAAGAGTAGTAGAGGTAGTATCATGTTGTAGACATGTTTTAGCTGAACTTGATCCACTATCATTGTGATATTCTGGAATTGCTGCACTCCTTGTAGTATCATGTTGAACACATGTTTTAGCTGGACTTGATCCACTATCATTGTGATATTTTTGAATTGCTGCACTCCTTGTAGTATCATGTTGAACACATGTTTTAGCTGGACTTGATCCACTATCATTGTGATATTCTGGAATTACTGCAGTTCTTGTAGTATCATGTTGAAC